TCAGGGAAGAAGATAACTCCTGAACATCTTTTATTTTACAGGATTGTTACAGTTATTTTGATTTTTTTAAATTTTTTCATATGAGGTTGAGAATTGTTCTTTCAGGGTCTGTAAAGCATTGCTTTGCTATTTTGATGGTAATTGCATTGAATCCGTAAACTGCTTTTGGTAAGATGGCCATGTTTACTAAGTAATCCTACCTATCCATGAGCATGGGAGATCTTTCCATATTCTGAATTTTTCTTCAGTTTCTTTCTTCAGAGTCTTGAAGTTCTTGTCATACAGGTCTTTCACCTTCTTGTTTAGAGTTACATCAAGATACTTTATGCTCTTTATTGGTTATTGTGAATGGTGTTGTTTCACTAATTTGTTTCTTAGCCTGTTAGTCTTTTGTATACAGAAGGGCTACTAATTTATTTTTTGAGTTAACATTGTTTCCAGCTGCATTGCTGAAGATGTTTACTAGCTGTCAGTGTTCCCTGGTAGATATTTTTTTGGGGGGTCTCTTAAGTATACTATTATATCAACCACAAAAATTGATATTTTGAATTATTCCTTTCTAAATTGTATCCGTGGGATCTCCTTTATTTTTTTAATTATTTTTATTACAGTTTATTCACTTTGTATCTCAGCTGTAGCCCCTCTCTCATTCCCTCCCAATCCCACCCTCCCTTTATCATCTCCTCCCATGCCTCCTCTGAACTCCACTGATAGAGGAGGTCCTCCTTCCCTTCCCCCTGACATTAGCCTATCCAGTCTCATCAGAACTGGCTGCATTGTCTTCTGTCTGTGGCCTGGTAAGTGTGCTCTCCACTCAGGGGGTGGTGATCAAAGAACCAGCCACTGAGTTCATGTCAGAGAGAGCCCCTCTTTTCCTTACTAGGGAACACACTTGGAGACTAAGCTGCCATGGGCTACATCTGTGCAAGGGTTCTAGGTTATCTCCATACATGGTCCTTGGTTGGAGTATCTGTCTCAGAAAAGATCCTTGTGCCCTGGTATTTTGGTTCTGTTGTTCTCCTTGTGGAGCTCCTGTCCTCTCCATGTCTTTCTATTTCCCTTTTCTTTCATAAGTTTCCCTGCACCGTGCCCAAGGTTTGGCTTCCAATCAGTTAACATGAGGTACTTGTAGATCAGGTGTGCTCTTAAATTGTTAGTGTGAGAAGGCTCTAATTTCTTTAGTGCTATGAATTTTCTTCTCAGCACTGCCTTCATTGTTTCCCATAAGTTAAGGTATGTTGTATCTTCATTTTCATTGAATTCTAGAAAGATTTTAAATTTCTTTCCTTTTTCTTTCTTTATTTCTTCTCTGACCCAGTGTGCATTGAATAGGTAATTGTTCAGTTTCCATGTAATAATAGGCTTTCTCTTGTTTCCGTTGTTGCTGAGTTCCAGCTTTAATCCATGGTGGTCTGAAATGATACAATGTGTTAATTCAATCTTCTTGTATCTTCTGAGGCTTGCTTTGTGACAGAGCATATGTTCAATTATGGATGAGATTCCCTGAGGTGCTGAGAGGAATGTATGGTCTATTCTTTTAGGTGAAATGTTGTGTAAGTATCTGTTAGTTCCTTTTGATTGATGACATCTGCTAGTTTAATTATTTATCCATTTAGTTTCTGTTTAGATCATCATCCTTTTGTGGAGTGTTGGTATCTCCCACTGTTAATGTGTGGGTTTCAATGTGTGATTTAAGTTTTAATAATATTTCTAATATGAATGTGGGTATCTGTGCATTTTGAGACATAAATGTTCATAATTGAGACTTCATCTTGGGGTGTTTTTCCTTTGATGAGTATGAAGTGTCCTTACCCATCTCTTCTGATTAATTTTGTTTGAATTTATAGTTTGTTAGATACTAGAATAAGTATCCCACCTTACTTCTTGGGTCCATTTGCTTGGAAAAGCTTTTCCCAGCACTTTACTGTCTGGTAATACCTATCTCCATTGCTGAGATGTGTCTCTTTTATTCAACAGATTAATGGATCCTGTTTTTGCTTCTATTCTGCTAGCCTGTTTCTTTTGTTGAGGCCACTGATGTTAAGAGATATTAATGACCAGGGGTTATTAATTGCTGTTGTAATGTGTTGTTGATATGGTTTGATATACTGTGGTTGATGTGGGCTTATTTATTTCTTGTTTTTTTTCGGGATGTAGTTAAGCCCTTGTGTTAGAATTTCCCTTCTAGTATCTTCTGTATGGCAGGACTTGTTTAGTACTGTTTACATTTGTTTTTGTTATTAAATATTTATTTTCTCCCTGCATGGTGATTACAAGTTTTGCTCTATATAGTATTATGGGCTGACATCTGTGTTTTCTTAGTGTCCATCATGACCTTCTCGCTTTTAGATTTTCTGGTGTGAAATCAAGTGTAATTCTTATAGATCTTTGACTTGGCATTTTTCTCTTTCATTTTTTAATATTCTTTCTTTGTTCTGTATGTTTAGTGTTTTGATTATTATGTGGTCTGGGGATTTTCTTTTTTGGTCCATTCTATTTTCTGTAAGCTTCTTTTATGCTTATAGGCATCTTTTTCTTTAAGTTGAAGAAGTTTTCTTCTAGAATTTTGTTGAAATTATTTTCTTTACATTGGAGCTGGTAATTTTCTCTTTCTTTTATTCCTATGTTTAGTATTTTCATATGTCCCAGATTTTTTGGATTATTTGTGTCAGGAACCTTGTAGATTTAACATTTTCTTTGATGTATTAATTTCTTCTATTGTGTCTTCTCCACTTTCTCTTCCATCTCTTGTACTCTGTTGGTGATATTAGTGTCTATAGTTCCTATACTCTTCCCTAGGTTTTCCATCTCAAGGATTGCCTCAGATTGTGGGGTTTTTTATTGCTTCTATTTTTATTTTTATGTCCTCAACTGTTTTGTTCATCTCCTTCCCTTGTTGGATTGTATTTTTTCTATATTTCTTTAAGGGATTTACTCAGTTCCTTCACCTTTTTTTATTGTATTTTCTGATGGATTTATTTTCCTTTGTCCAGGTCTTTATCATTTTCATAATCTCAGATTTAAGATTTTTTTATTGCACTTCAGATGTGGTTGTATCTCCAGGGCATCCTATGGTAAAATAGTTGGTTTCAGGTGGTGTCATATGGCCCTGGGTTTTGAAGCTTGTGTTTATACAATGGCCTTAAATCATTTGATTGTCCTTCATATTAACAAAGCTTGTTCTGTCTGCTGGTAGTTGGCCTCTTGGATTATCAGATTAGTTGTTGGTCCCAGATGACAGCAGTCCTCTGGTTATCTTAGGTGATAGCAGATCTCTGGGGCTACAGGGAGAAATGGTAGTCTCTTATGGCTGCCAGTCTATGGGACTGCAAGTGGGGATGGTGATCAGGATATTGTGCATGCTGGATGTTGTTGATCCCTAATGGGTGCTGGTCTCTGCTGCTCCCTGATGGTTGCTGCTCTTTGCTGAAGGTTGCCTGTCTTGGAAAATGGAGGTGGAGATATGGCCTGGCAAATGGAGTTGGTCCCAAAAATAGCTGGTGCATGGTGGAACATGTTGTTCCCTGATGGTTACCAATCCAAGGAAATGAAGCCAGCCACATAGGTGTGGTACTTCAGTGGAGGCACTTGGGCACAAATGGCCCCATGCAGACTGCACCTTCAGTACTCTGAAGCTGGTCTCTAGCAGGTCAGCAGCTGGTGAAAGGGTCATTACCTCTGTTTTCTGGTAGTTGCTGGTCTGGGAAATGGAGCAGTCACAAAAGAGGATGATGTTTGGAGAGCTCTGCTGTTTCCTGGTGGTTTCTGGGTTGGGTAAATGAAGCACTCCTTTAGGTCGAACCTGGAGGAAGCTGAGGGAAGTTGGGTGTGAATGACCACAGGCAGACTACCTATTACATAATTTCTTAAGCGTTCAGACTAATTTGACATCTACTTTTTAGGTAGTGAATTAATTAAAGGAAATCTTGAGCTGGACATGGTGGCATATGATTTTAACCCAGCACTTTTGGGGGCAGAGTCAGGTGGATGTATATGTTCTAGGGTACCTGGTCTAAAAAATATGTTTTAGCGCACCAGGGTTGCAAAAAGAAACCTTGCTCAAATACAAAACAAACCAAAACAAAACAATTAACTAACTAAAATTTTCTGTAATTTTCTTTGCTAATAAAATACTAGAATAAAAAAAATTTTGTCATGTAATTCCAACTATAGCCATTATTGAATGATATGTACTGAATAAATGTTGTGTATATAGGAATGAGGTCACATTAGTATAACACTGACTGATACTTCTGCTGAGTTTTTCTTTACAATATTTAATTGTGCTATTTGGAGTATATCCATGTTAATGAAGTTTTTTTTTTCTTTTTCTTTTTTGGACCCTAGTATTGAACAATAAAAGTAAATATGTAAATACAAAATAAATTTTCACAATTTATAATAGTGAAATTTTTGGATTTATAACTTTGGGAAAAGAGGTGGTTTGTGTTGTTCTATGCAAAGGTAATTTTAAAATATATTGAAGATGAAAAATAATAATTCTATATAATACAAAAATATGTTTGCTTTCCTAAAGGAATATTCCTTCTATTTTTTTATATAATACCCCAGGAAGAGAAAGACACATTTTTATTTTAAAGACCGTAAGACTGTTTTTCTATGTCACTGTCAAATGACTGTGGCTTTTCCATGAAAAAATAGGTCATATATTCTGTTTGACTTATTTTGTTTAATCAAAAAACTGGCCATAAATATTGTTTTTAGTTTTCTAATAAACAAATTCACACAATGTTTTCGTGATGTAGCTAGCATTGTAGCAGAGAAAAGACAATGTATTTTGGCTGAGCATTTCCATTGCTGAAGATACTTTACTTATTATTGATTCCTGACTATATGATTTTTTTCTAAAATAAGATGAAAAACAGCATGCAAACATAGATAACTTTATAATGGCTGAAACATAAAATCCCAGTAAGGTGACTGCAAATAAACTTGACTTACACAGTAAGCCAAATTTAATTTATTATTGTTATGTTTAGGTAACAGAAAGAAAGCAACAGTTGGAGAAATGCTTGAAATTGTCCCGTAAGATGAGAAAGGAAATGAATGTCTTGAAAGAATGGCTGGCAGCAACAGATATGCAACTGACAAAGAGATCAGCAGTTGAAGGAATGCCTAATAATTTGGATTCTGAAATTGAGTGGGCAAAGGTAAATACTATATTACTTAAAATTATTTTAACATAACATATATGAAAACAAATAGTAAAAAATTTTATAACCAAATAGTAATGGCTAACAGTAATAGAATTATCAATATTACCCTACTTCATTTTTCCTTTTCTCAAAAATTAATCATGGTATTACTGTATATTTCAAGAATGAATTTTAAGAGTGATAAAACAAATAATAAACTTTATGAAGCATACAGTGAATAAGTGTGTTGTGAGTAAATAATTTACATTATGTTCATTATTAAATAAAATTATTTCAGACCGCTATAGATATTCCAAATGAATCATATGCATTTAAGATCCAAATATATCATTCACAGAGAAAAAGTTCTATGTTTTACTAGCTTAAAATAGAGTGACTATGTAGAACATACAATCAGGGATACAGTGAGATACAGGGACTGTGGACAGTTCAGGGTATGGCCTAAGTCAAAATCATAAATAATCTAAAGGGGACTGTGAAGGTTCTACCATTCTGTCACCAAATGGCACTTGGCCTACTTTCTTTATAGCTCAGAAACTTTTGTAATTTCTCTGACAGCCAGAAAGCTATTTATTGCTTCCTAGAACATAAGGTCAAGCACTCATACTTTAAAATTTTTGGTGATTCATTTATAATTATGAGAAATTGTCTTAATGAAAAGGAAGTACTTCATGTCATTGATATTAATTACATATTTTCATGTAAGACTGCTCCAAGGCACTGGGGCATTTACATATCATACTCACTCTCATTTTTTGAGCTTAACAAGTATTTGAGTGTGTTAATTACCTATCCAGGATATTAGCACTTATTTTTAGCTCAATGAACTTATGCTCTAAAATTTTGAAAACATAGAGTGCATTGTGTAAAAAGTTATGATGACATGATGTCATACTTCAAAGCATTTTTCTGATTGGGTGTGAGGTAAAATCTCATTGTAGTTTTGATTTTCATCTCCTTGACTACTAAGGACATTGATCTTTTCTTTAAGTTTTTCTCTGCCGTTCAATATTCCTCTATGTAGAATATACTATTTATCATTGTACCCCATTTTTAATTGGATTACTGGGTTTCCTCTTGTTTAACTTTTTTAGTTCTTCATATATTCTGGATATCAGCCCTGTGTCAGATATAGAGCTGGTGAAGATCCTTTCTCAGTCTGTAGGCTGTCGTTTTGTTCTGGCTACAGTGTCTTTTGCTTTACAGAAGCTTTTCAGTTTCCTGAGGTCCCATTTATAGATTGTTGCTCTTAGAGCTTGTGCTGTTGGTGTTCTGTTCAGAAAAGTTAGCTTTGGTGCCAATGAATTCAAAAGTCTTCCCCACTTTTTCTTCTAACAGGTTCGTCTCCAACTGGGATCCCTAGTAAGGGGAGCAAGGATTTTCTCTGATATGAACTCAGTGGTTGGCTCTTTGATCACCTCTACCAGGGGGGTGCAGCCTTGCTAGGCCACAGAGGAAGACAATGCAAACAATCCTGCTGAAAGCAGATAGGTCAGGGTCAAATAGAAGGGAAGGAGGACCTCCTCTATCAGTGGACTAGGGGGAGAAAAGGGAAGGAATGTGGGATTGGGTGGAGATGAGTGAGGGGGCAGCAGCCAAGATAAAAACTGTAAAAACTGAATAAATATAATAAATGTTAATTATAAAAATAAGAAAAATAGCATAATCTTTATTAATTTAGAGAATGTATAATGGTAAAATTTTAAACAAATAGTGGTGAATGACCTTCATTCTCTCACAACTCAGAACAGATATTTAAAGTTTCAGTTGCAGTTTCAAGATCATATAATATTTGAGATTTTTTTATTTCTTTTTAGATTTTTTTAATATTAGTTACAGCTTGTTAACTTTGTATCCCTGCTGTATCCTGCTCCCTCATTCCTTCCCAATCCCACCCTCCCTCCCTCATCTCCTCCCTGACCCTTTCCAAGTCCACTGATTGGGGAGGGCCTCCTCCCCTTTCATCTGATCCTGTTTTATCAGGTATCTTCAGAACTGGCTACAAAGTCCTCTGTGGCCTAGCAGGACTGCTCCTCTCTTGTGGGGTGGAGAGGTCAAAGAGCCTACTATTGAGTTCCTGTCAGAAATAGTCTCAGTTCCCCTTCCTATGGGAAACCAATTGGTTACTGAGCTACCACAGGCTTCATCCACGCAGAGGTTCTAGGTTATATTCCTACATGGTCCTTGGTGGAGTGTCAGTCTCAGAAAAGACCCCTGTGCCCAAATATATTTGGTCCTTATGGAGCTCCTATCCTTTCCACATCATACAAACTCCCCCTTCTTTCGTATGATTCCCTGCACTCTGCCGAAGGTTTGGTTATGAGTCTTAGTATCTGCTTTGATGCACTGCTAGGTAGAGTCTCTCAGGGGCCCTCTGCAGTAGGCTCCTGTCCTGTTACTTGTTTTCTCCTATGTCCAATGCACCTCCCATTTGTCTTTCTAAGTGAGGATTGATCATCTTACCTGGGTCCTCTTTCTTGTTTATCAATCTGGCGCTTTCTCAGACAATTAGAAATAGTGCTTCCTCAAGACCCAGCTATACCACTCTTAGGCATATACCCAAAATTTGCTCAAGTACACAAGGACATTTGCTCAACCATGTTTGTAGCAGCTTTATTTGTAATAACCAGAACCTGGAAACAACCCAGATGTCCCTCAACAGAGGAATGGATACAGAAATCATGGTATTTTTACACAATGGAACACTACTCAGCAATCAAAAAGGAGGAAATCATGAAATTTGCAGGCAAATGGTGGGATCTAGAAAGGATCATTCTCAGTGAGCTATCCCAGAAGGAGAAAGACAAACATGGTATATACTCACTCATATAGCCCATAAGATATGATAAACTTAATGTAATCTATACAGCTAAAGAAGAGCATTTAAATTCTCAGTTTAGCTCGGTACCCCATTTTTAAATTGGATTATTTTGTGTGTTGTTTTTTGATTTCTTGAGTTCTTTATATATTGTGGATATTAACCCTCTGTCCAATGTAAGGTTGGTGAAAAACTTTTCTCAGTCTGTAGGCTGTTATATTGTTCTATTGATTATGTCTTTTGCTTTACAGTAGCTTTTCAGTTTCTTGAAGTCCCATTTATTGATTGTTGATCTCAGAGACTGTGCTGTTAGTGTTCTGTTCAGTAAGTTGTCTCTTGTGCCAATGAGTCAGCACTTTTAATTTTGCAAAAAAACTGGTGTTTGTGTAAACTGACACGGTGGATATGACTGTTCCATGGTATGATTAAAAGAAGGATTTTTTTTATAGATGAGAGAGAGACAGAGAGAGAGAGAGAGAGAGAGAGAGAGAGAGAGAGAGAACTATCAGAAGCATCTGGAAGAATTCAGAGCAGAGAGAGAGTAGTAGACTGAACATGGTCAACAGACTGGTCTTGAGAGACAAAAGGAGGGAGGGAGCAAAGAAGAGAGAGAGACAGAGAGAGAGGCAGAGAGAAAGACTTAAAAGAGGAAGAAAAATAGTGTACAAAAATGAAAGAACAAGAGAAATAAAAAAGGTGAAAAACAATAGAGCAAGAATCTCCAAAAGAGCAGATAAGAATGAGTAGATGGAAGGAAAAAAAGCTTCTGAGTTGGAGCAAGTTAAGCATACATTGGGGGACTGTGTGAATAGCTGAGAAGTTCCAGAATGCCAGAATGGAATTGTGATACCAAAAGATACTGGAGGTCAATTTGTCCTTTGGTTTGTAAATAGGCAGAACAGATAGCTATTAGTCCCTTTCTGCCAATCATAAGGGAAGTGCCTTATTTGGTAGAGATGAACTTGCTTTATAAGTTTATGAAGAATTCTGGCTTATGTCTAACCACCATAAGACTTTGGGGAAACTGAGTTCCATTTGGACCTGATAATGTTTAAACAACTACTTATGATATAAAATATTTTTTAATATTTATTTCAGAGATAAATATTTCCAAATTTCAACATAAAAACAATTATTAGTTTTTTTTAATTAGCTTTTAATTGTCACCTCAATTACAAAACGAAATGATTACTACCGAATAAAACCTAATCACAAAATGTCTTTCTATTTGTCAGTTGTTTCCTAGTTACATGTAATCACTTGGAAAGTTTGAAAAATATACAAATGAGAGAACTTCATCTTGTAGGTTTGGATTTATCTGGCATGTGCGAATGTAACTAGAACCATCTATATGCTATCACTCTCTGTTATTTTTCTTTTATTAATTAATATATTTATTTGTTAATTACAGTTTATTTACGTTGTATTCCAGCTGTAGCCCTTCTCTTGTCCCCTCCTAACCTCTCCTTCTGTCCCTCATCTCCTCCCATTTTCCTCCCCCTGTCCACTGATAGTGGAGCTCCTCCTCCCCTTCAATCTGACCCTAGACTATCAGGTATCATCAGGACTGTGTGCCTTGTATTTCTGATCCTCCTTTCAGGGGAAGGTGATCAAAGAGACAGCCAATGAATTTATATCAGAGACAGCTCCAGTTCGCATTAATAGATAACCCATTTGGATACTGAGCTGCCATGGGCTACATCTGTGCAGGGGTTCTAGATTATCTTCATGCATGGTTCTTGGTTGGAGTATCTGTCTCAGAAAAGACCCTTGTGCCCAAATATTTTGGTTCTGTTGCTCTCCTTTTGGAGCTCCTGTTCCCTCCAGGTCTTTCTATCTCCACAGTTTTCATAACATTCCCTGCACTATGCCCAAAGTTTGGCTATGAGTCTCAGCATTTGCTTTGATAATCTGCTGGGCAGAATCTTTCAGAGGCTCTCTGTGGTAGGCTCCTGTCCTGTTTCCTGTTTTCTCCCTCTTCTGATATTCATACTGTTTGCCTTTCTGAGTGAGGACTAATCATCTTACCCAGGGTCCTCCTTCTTGCTTATCTTCTTTAGGTGTACAGATTTTAATATGTTTATCCTACATTATATGTCTAATATCCACTTATAAATGAGTATATACCATGTGTGTCTTTCTGCTTCTGGGATATCTCACTCAGGATGATGATCTTTTCTAGTTTCAGCAATTTTCTTGCAAATTTCATTATTTCTTTGTTTGTAATTGCTGTGTAGTACTCCATTGTGTAAAGGTACCACAATTTCTCTATCATTTTCTCAGTTGAGGAACATATGAGGTTATTTCCAGGTTCTTGCTATCACAAATAAAGCTGCTACAAACATTGGTTTTACATTTCTTTAAGTGTTTCTCTGCTCTTTGATATTCCTCTGCTGTGAGTTCTCTGTTTATCTCGGTTCCCCATTTTAATTGGATTACTTGGTTTGTTGGTTTTAAACTTCTTAAGTTCTTTATATATTCTGGATACTAGTCCTCTGTCAAATATAGGGTTGGTCAGATCCTTTCCCAATCTGTAGGCTGTTGTTTTTTTCTGATGACAGTTTCCTTTGCTTTACAGAAGGTTTTGCATTTCAAACTCCTAGCATTACAAGAAATTACCTGGTTACTGGGCAAGTGGCTCAATTTTTGGCATTACATTGAACACAGCGGAAAAACATCACTTATTTAATAACCATGGTTTTCAAGCAATTTGATGGGGTATCCATGCAATTCTGTCAATTATGCTGTATAATTTTTAAACAATCTCTTAACTGTTTAAAAAATCTAATTTCTACTCATAGTTTATAGGAATTATTGGTTCATGGCATCATAGTTTTGACTACAAAAATGTGAAAAGTATTTATTATTTCTAAAGTCTGCTACACTATCATTCTCATGAAAAATTTTACATATATTTTAAAGAGAGCATAGTAATTTATCTTGGAAGTGAAACATCACTAGCAGATCATTAACGTGGTACATTGAATGCATCAAACAGCTGTTACTTAGAAAATAGAACATCTGCTAAATGTTATTGAAGTCACTATTCATTGTCATTATGCTTATAGCTATAATTTCAGTTCTGCATATTCTCCTTTCATGGGAGTGTTCTTTAACAGATGAGGGATTATTAATAAAAGTTTATATGCATTGTTATAAAATCCAATATTTAATGTTCTATAGGATTCTTTTATAAATCATTATATAATTTTATCACACAGGCTAAGTAAAATATATCCTACATCTTAAGCCATAATAGAATAACCTAAGGTATCAAAAAGTAATTCATATCAATTTGTCATGTATAAGGTGTATCCAATTGTATGATGTACTGCTGAGGAGCACAGCGTACATATACTATCAATTTAAAGGTAAATATATATTGTCTTGTAAAAATAAAATGTAAAAACGCAACATAATTATTTTCCACCTTTCAATTTTTTTCAATTGCCCAGTTCCCTATGACCAGAAATGCTAGGGCTGTATGGTCATACTTGTATAGTCAAATATATTAAGTTATCTTTAATAAGCATATTGATTAATCTTCATGTACCTTTTAGTGAATGAGATATAAATAATACCTACAATAAAATTACTATAGTATCCTAGTAAAGGGAATGATATTGTAATGAAATACCAGTACAGTACATATTTGATTAAATGTGTGGTTAGATAAAGGTAAAAATCTAACCATTGAAAACTGCTGTTAATCAATCTAATTAAACCTGGTGGAAATGTTCTCAGTTTTTCATGGAGAGGCTCCAGTTGTACCAATGCCCTTCATTATGACCTAAATTTTTTCCTGTTCTCATTCTGATGCTAGAATACAGCCACAGGGAAAGTCATTCCACTCTATTCCTTTAGTATATTGCAAAGGAAATTCTCATGCCGATTGTCAGAGAGAAGTAAACCTCCCTGACCATTAAGCACTTTTTTTTTTTAATGGAAATGTCTAGCACATGTAAATAATATGGAACAGAGAAAATCCGTTACAGCTGTAGCAGACAACAGCTGCCAGGAACCCCTATGTATGCTAGGCAGAAGGAAGGCTGACTGTAGCTTAGCCACATGAGGACTGTGGATAGAGCAGGCTCTCATTTCCTTTGCACATTTTGACCCTTAGACATGTGTGTGTGTATATAAAAGAAGTCAGTACTCACTTTTTGTACTTAAATATTAAAAGAATTCCTCCTGAAAAAAAACAAAAAACAAGAAATTGTTTTTAGGAGCTAGAGAGATGGCTCAGCAGTTATGAGCATTAACAGTTCTTTCAAAGGAACCAGGTTCAATACCCATCACCCAGATGGAGGTTCACAACTCTGTAACTCCAGTTTCAGGGAAACCAACACTCTCACACAGACATACATGCAGGCAAAAAACCAATGCAAATGAAATTAAAAAAAAACACTTTTTAAAAATAGTTTTAAAAGGATTGCATGAATGTACGGTAACATATACAGAGATTTTCCTTAGAATATTTGTCACTGGAAATTTTTCAGAAAACTCGTGGAAGGCAGTGGAAATGTAGGAATACATGAAATGGAGATAGTTGATATTATCAAGCCCTAATAAGCCCTGTGTTATATTCTTGGAAAATAGTGTCTATATGTTTGTTTCTGTGAAATCAGATAATTATTCCAATTATCTTCTATAATCATAAAGTTAAAAATAAGAATATCAACAAAGCCAGGTAGTGGTTATGCACATCTTTAATCCTAGCCATTGGGAGGCAGAGGCAGGCAGATCTCTGTGAGTTTGAGGCCAGGGTGTTATACAGAGAAAGTTTCAGGATAGAGAAGGCTATACTGTAAAACCCTACCTGAAAAGAAGTAGCCCTCCACACACATAAAAAGAAAATCAACAGAAACCAAGAGAATAGCTTTTCCCATCAAAAAGTTAATCCGTGACATTTTTATTGTATCCATCTTAGTGTATGCACTTCACCATTTCTATAATAACCTTCACTCTTACCTATGAGAAGTTGATCTAAATGATGCAAATTTTCATGAGAAAATGAATCTCCTCTACCTAACCTTCCATGATAAAGAAATCAGAGTAACTTTTAAATATTTTATGGCTAAGAAAAAGCACATTTCTTTAATGGAGAACACCAAACTTAGTGCTTAATAATTTCTACACCTACCTGCTTTTATATTTTACCCATACAATGTTAGTGTTTGCAGCAATTATTATTTCAGTAGACTACTACTCATGCAAAACTTTTTGTTAAAATTTTAAACTAAAAAAAAAACCTCCTTGATGTCATCTATGCAGATCTAATTTTGTTATTCTTATGTCTCCAAAGGTAGCTATTATCATACAAGTCAAAACAAAACATAGTGAATATAATCTTATGGGTTTTTTTTTGGGTTTTTTTTTACCTTAAAATCAAAATAAGGAACTTTCACATTACAACCTTAGGAAAAAAAAATAATGGCTAAGTACAATTGAGTATAAAAGCCATAATGTTTTACCTTTCGTACCTAGAAAGATGATCATCTTCTATATTTGTAGAGTATATATTTTACCCTAAAGTGTACAGGATTTCTAAAAGGTTGAAGTCTAATCCATATCTACTCATTTCTAAATGAGCTATCTTGGCCCAATATCTGGTAATTTGCACATTCTAAAAGATATTTAATACTATTTTCAGTGGCAATTCTACATTAGTGTCTGAAATCTAAGAGGAATAAAATAAATCCTCATGATTGAGATCTGAAAAAATTGATTTTAGGAAATGCTAGTCTGATTTTTGTACAATAAATGTTACCTCCATTATAAATAATCCTTTCTGTCAAAGCAGATAAATTCATTTGGAACACGTTTACCTACCAGTATTTTAATATTGAAATGAGAAGACACAACTATAAAAATTTATAGATGAAAATGATTATTTTTGAGAACACCTGTGAATAAGAAGTCTACTGTCTGATAGAGATGCCTTTTCATCTAGAATCTCTCTATGATTTTTTGTGCATAACTATTTTGTTCTACTTGTGAACTTACCCTGATTTATTATTGTTATTCTTTCTTTCTTTCTTTCTTTCTTTCTTTCTTTCTTTCTTTCTTTCTTTCTTTCTTTCTTT